CCCTCTTCCTCCTCAGCCCGGCGCTGCTGCCGGCGTTCTCCACAACGTGCGCGAGGCGCTCAAAAAACAGGCGGCTGAGGGAAAAAAGAGTCATTTCGGAACGGAAACTGGTGAGTTCCCGAGTGCATCAGCTGCTTAGCTGGTAACGCGGTTACCTTGGGGGGTGGTCACCCCGTTTACCCGCTCCTTGCCGTTTTCTCCTCACGGCGATCAAGTGAGGCTCTTGGTGTGAGGGACAATCTTCCTAAGTTCGGATTAACTTTCCGAAGAGAGAGGAAATAAGCCTGCCGTGTGACGTGAGCGGTGTCCAGAGGGCTGTGGCGAGCTGCCTGTGGCCGCAGCACCTCCTGGCCGGAGGCATGCCGAGGTCCGGAAAGCAAAAAGGCTTACACAGCCTTAAATCTAAAATTTTGGGGCTTTTATCACTGTTTTTATAGTCTTGCACAGTGGTCAGCTGCCAAACAGATGGCATTTTATGTCAGAGACGCTGCAGGGTGCTGGAACTTTTTGTTCATGTTCTTTTTCTGATTATACGTCGGTGGGAAATCTTATTTTTTAATGACCAGTAAATCACTTCCCATTCCAAGCAATAGTTTCCTGTGTCGCCGAGCGGTGGTGCCAAATGCTTTTCTAAAAGACGCTTTTTAAGAAGTCACTGGTCATAATATAACTTTAATTATCAAGAGTTAGGTGGTTTTTTCAGTCGCTTATCTTGGTGTCATAATACTAATGAGACTTTTTCTCCCTTGCATACTGTTTGGGCTATTTAATTAAAATGACCCCTATTACTCATTCTCATTATGAAGTCTCTTAGTAATTGACAGAATTTGGATGTTACCACAATCAAGGTTGTACTTTTTTTTTTGTCCTGATATGTAAACAATTTCACCTACCTTCTCTAATATTTTCCCTTGGGGATTTCAGCCCGCTTTCTAGAGGTAGGAAAATATCATCAAACCTGTTCTGCTGACAGAAAAGCTGAAACATAATTAGTTTGCCAGAAGTCCAATATTAAATTCATATCAGAAATAAAGACAAGATCTGTGATTCTCTCTACCTATCTGTGATTCTCTACCCTATATCTTTTTTACCCCATGAGCAACTGGTTGTGGCTTATATTAACATTTCTTCTGCTTATTCTGTTTGCGAATACTTTATATAATACTTTTCTTAATTGTTAGAAGATCGATGTTTGCCTTAATTTCTCCTGGTATAGAAAGTGTGAATCAGTATGAGAATCCCCCTCTCATATATGCACTATGTCCTTTTTGCAAATTTCAGTTTAATTTAAAGAAGTTAATGTTTACGTATATAATTATTTTTTTTTTAATTTTTGTTTTCATGAGTAGGGATGTAGTTACTGAGCAATTTTGGTTTATGGTGTGGTAGCTGTCTTGAGGTACCTGTCAGCGTTATGCAACTGTATTAAAAGGATACTTTTCCTGTTATTAGTTCCCTTAACATGAATTTTGTACTTCTGGTGTCTGAGCTGCTGTATTAGGTTATATCAACATAGCCTCAGGCTTGTACTTCTAAAGAGGTTCTTAACAATACTTGAAAAATGAGATCTATTTTTCTTTATTAATATACTTAATATTGCTGTGTTTAGTTGATCTATGAATGGCAGTAGAGTTCTGATTTTTTTACTCTTTTTTTTTTTTTTTACTGTGGAATGGAACTCATCATGACTAAAAATAGCAGGTGTGCATGTTACTAAGTTTTGCAGAACAATCGACTTGTTGGAAGACGACTCTGATAAACTGTGCTTAAAGGGTACAAACCCCTTCTTTGTTACAGACACGCTATTTCGTGGATCACCGGAAAGTGCGTGTGGTTGGAGGACAAGGAGGAGGAGGAGGTCGCTCTTTTTATAGTGAACCCAGAAAAATTTTTGGAGGTCCTGATGGTGGAAATGGAGGTGATGGGGGTCATGTCATCTTGAAAGGTAAAGCATTTTGAAAATCAGGGTATTTTGCAGACATTTTAGGGTCTGGTGCCTGATTATGTTATGATAAGGCTGGGATCTGATCAAATTTTACTCTTGAGATGGGTAAAACTATTTCTGCCACCACTCTGCTGCAAAATCTGCTAATGTGGCAAATGAATTTTCCAGAGTATTTTGTAATGGCTTATTTTGGAATGACCACGTTATTAAGTGCGCGGTTAATAAACCTAAGCAGATAAGTAAAGGCAGTTCAACTTCATCACAATTTACAGTAATGTTAGTTTTCCCTGATATGTTTTTGTTGAGACAGTAAATGGAATGTGTATTCATGCAATATTCAAAAGGGAAAAAACAGTCGAGCCTGCTCTTCTGTGCCTGTTCTACTAAAACAATGTGTTTAAAATACGCGTATTTTGCTTTACAGCTGACCAGCAAATGAAATCACTTTCTTCAGTCCTCCCCTTCTATCAGGGTTTTCATGGAGAGAGAGGAGGAAGCAAAAACTGTTACGGAGCTAATGGTGCATATGTGTATGTTAAAGTAAGTAAATTAAGGCTGCGTGGTAGTGTGTTAGCTTGGTATTAACTTTGCCGATTTTCAAGCTGGATGACCTTATTGTGAGAAAAATCTTGTGTGTTTTTGCAGGGAGCCTTGTGTGCTCTCTCTGCTGAGGTAGGGCTGGTTGGCACACAAGCAAATCAAACTGCTTTGAATTGTTTATAAAAATTAGATGTTGGAAGGTACATCTGACCAAAACAAATACTGTCCTGATTTGCTTTACTTCTAAAGGTTATGTGCCTAGAGCAATCAGAACACAGAATTCCTTAAATAGGAGCAGGCTTTTTTCTTTCATACTTTTTTTCTTCAGTATGCCTGTTTTGGTGTACACCTATGATATGTTTCTTAGCTCACTACAGTGCTTAGGCTTCTTTGCTTAAAAAGAAAGAAAGAGGATTATGGTTCTGTGAACGCTTTAGTGAAGTGTAAATGTCTGACTGTTGTTTGGGTTCAGAAAGTGAACCTCATGAAGTACACTTCTCTTTTTGGATTTCCCAGCTTAAGAATATGGAGAAATGATTTCCAACAAATCTGAAATCAGCTGGTAAAGCGTCTGATGAAGACAGCTCTGCTGCAGACTTTGAGCTTCAGTGTAATGCTTGCATCTGTCTTCTCTTTAAGGTCCCTGTAGGTACACTGGTTAAGGAGGATGGAAAAGTTGTAGCTGACCTCACTCAACACGGTGAAGAGTATGTTGCAGCTTATGGAGGAGCTGGAGGGAAAGGTAATCGCTTTTTTCTTTCCAATGAAAACCGAGCACCAACATTATTTACTCCCGGAGAGCCAGGTCAGGAAAGGGTCCTCCATCTGGAACTCAAGACAACAGCTCATGCAGGACTGGTGAGTGTCACTGTGGCTCTTCAAATTCTGTATCATTGTAGGATGACACTTGACTGACTGAAGAAATAATGTTTGATAACATTTTTGTTAGCCTTTTGGCTTACTGGTTTAGAGATGCAACTCAATGCTTTCTTGCTATTGCTTGGCAGAAGGCTGTCCAAAGTGATTTGCAGAGTTGTCACTCTCTTGCTACTGGATATCATCCTACTTTCGTGAAAATCCAAACTATACATAGAAAAGCAATGTGCAATATTCATCAGTGATTAACAGATTCACTGATGATGTACAGCAGGCTTTGTCTGCCAGTCTGCAGACGAACAGTACAGTATGGAGAGTTCTTCTAAATTTGTTTCTGTTTTCTTGTTTGGTTTTTTTTTTTTTAATAAAATTGATAAAGTTCCAATCATCATCTATTTCATCCCTATAGTTCTCTTTTTACAGATATTAAACATTTGACTTTGTTAGTTCCAGGTTTAGCATCCTGTGAAATGAAAATACTATTTAGACATGAATGCTAAGTCAATTTAGGGCTTAAGCTGTTTTCATTTTGAAGTATGGAAATGTTTTGACACCAGCTGGTAAAGCTGTTAAAACTATGCTTTGCTGCAGAGTGTTCTTGCTGTAGTTCAACAACTGCAGAGTAACTGTCTGGTCTAGCAGAATTTTGTGAATTTATTTAGAGACTAAGAAAAGAGTTGGCATTGGTGATGATCCGTATACCATATTGATCCATGTACTTAATTCTCTGACCAGCTGGACACTCTGGTCCACTTCTCACACTTTTGGCACTAATTTGGAAATCTGAGGTGAATCTGTTCTGTACTTGACTTTTCTGACAAGAATTCAGAGTGTCTGACATCAGGAAACAGGAGAATTTAGGATTTGATCTACTTTCATCTGGGATTATTGACCATTTATGCAGCTATGGTATATCAACTGTGGGATATCCCAGAGTAACTTTGTTTCTGGGGTAGGTTTGTTTAAATTCTTGCCTTCTCCCCAGAAGGCTGAGATTCAATTTAATTCTGTGATGTTGAGACTGTGAAGAGCTGTAAAATCCCAAACTTTTAGGCATTCTGGTTACTTACAGGCCAAGCTACGTTACTGAGTCAGGGACAGAGTGGATTCTGAATTCTTTTGGAAGTAGTAAATCGGAGTTAGAAAAGAGATAAAATGGGAATTGGAGGACAAAGTGTCATAACATTATTTCAGGATAAAAGAGATTTTATGGTGTGTGTGTATATGTATATATATAAAATATATAATGAGAAAATACACATATAAATAAAACAGGATTTAGGAAAAAAGGGGAAACCAGGATGCTTTTCAGAGCTGAGTACGCAACATTAATGCTGTTATATTCATGCTGAAACAACCGTACCACATCTGCAAAATCTTCCTTTTTTTTTTATCAGGATTACCCTAGAACTGTAGCTTTACTGAGTGTTGATATTCCAGGTGGGCTTTCCCAATGCTGGCAAATCATCGCTTTTGAGAGCCATCTCCCGTGCCAAGCCGGCGGTGGCTGCCTACCCGTTCACAACCCTAAATCCCCACGTCGGTGTTGTCCGCTATCAGGACTATGAACAAGTAGCAGGTAGGAATTGCAGGACGTTGCGTGCACCTTGGTAGCAATTTGTATCACCTGAGTTATTCTTGGAAATGCTGCAGAAGTTTAGCAGTTCTATAGAATTCTTGCTAGTTCTAAAGAACTTCAAACAAAACAATGCTGAAAGCCGCTTCACACTCACTTATTTGTGCCCTTAATATCAACCTAGCGATCTGTATTCTGTCTTCACTGGAATAATTTAAGTTTAGGGGTTTTAAAAATTAGTAGCAACCAAACATAACATGAAGGATGCTTTAATATTGATGCGTTAAGATGTAATTCTAAAAGTACTTGCACTGGCCAGTAAAAGACTCGGTTATTTGTGTTTTTTTTTTGTTGAACATGTTGGATTCACTGTGAAATTTCTCTCCTTGTAGTTGCCGACATTCCTGGCCTGATAAAAGGTGCTCATCAAAACAGGGGCCTCGGGATGGCCTTCCTAAGGCATATTGAACGTTGCCGCTTCCTCTTATACGTGCTAGATCTCTCTGTGTCCCAGCCGTGGATTCAGCTGCAAGACTTAAAATATGAACTGGAACAATACAAAAAAGGATTGTCCGAGAGGCCTTGTGTTGTGGTTGGGAATAAGATGGACCTTGCTCAGTCCAGGATCAATCTGCCACTTCTGAAAGAACAGATAGAGGAGCGGGTCATTCCGTTGTCCGCTTTGACGGGATACAACCTGGAGGAGCTGTTCTGGCATTTGAGAGAGTTCTACAACACGTATGTGAAGACAGAGCAATCACGAGGGCAAAGCCCAGTCAAGTGGTAGGAACCAGAACTACTGTGAACTGTACTGGGAGACAAAAGAAAAATAAATCATAATTTGATTAGATTGCATCTGTATGTTTTTTTATAGTTTTTTGGGTTTTTTTAATGTAAGAGGCACAGCATGTGGATTTGTTCTGGACTACTGCATTGAAAAGTGTTTTTTTTTGTTCGTTCACCTTTTTTGTTGTTGTTTTTTACAACAAAATTTTGAAATTGTAATCATGATGGGTGTTGAATTGGAAACCTGGATCTTTTTTGGCATTAGATAGTTAATTGTGGAATGAAGAGAATGCTATCTAGTAGAAATGACTGAAATTCAGGATCTGCAGGAGATGCTGGCTTGCTTTCTGAATCAGAGTGAAGTGGCTTCTCAATTTTCACTAATCAAAAATTCTAAAATAAAAGTAAGGTGGTCCCGTGTTTATCTGTTTTTATACCATAACCACTTCCAATTATCTTCTCTTAAACTTTTCTCCTGTTTTGTTTGTTGTTTATTTTTTTTTTTCTCAAAGAAGGCACAGCTGCTCAGTGTTTTTTAGGGAGGAGGAGCATGAAGCTGCTGCAATTAATGCTTGAAATTATTTCCTCATTAGTCTAAATAATCAACTACCTTTAAATGCTGGCAGCAGCTAAGTAGCTGTGTAAACTAGCCAGGGAACAGTCATTTGAGACTCACTTCTGAGTTCTCCAGTTTCCTTGAGGAGTCTCATGTTCTAAGAAATCCTAGGCTTAGGTATTCCAGATACAAGAAAAATAGAGTAAATCACCCTTCTTTTTATTTTATTTTTTTGACTACATCATTTTGTGAACTGTGTTCTTAAATTTTATTCTCTAGGAATTCAGAAATCCTCATTTAGAAGAGTGGGTCTTTGCTCTATCCTCATGCTGGAAGAAGAGCTGCTTCTTTATACTCTGGTTATGTTCTGTGTAAAAGATGATTATTTTGATAGTGAAAAGTCAAAATTTATCAAAACATGTTATTAAGCTTTTTTATAAGGGACCCTAACAGACTTGTAGAACGCTGAGACACAAATGCTTATGTAGTCAAGAGAAATGGTTGTTCTTGAGCCTTTACTTAATGTTTCTTGATTTTTTTTTTAAAAGCAGATATACTTTGCCTTCCAAACCAGCAGTCTGGAATTACAGACCTTGCGTGTACTTTTCACATCAATGAACTAAAAAGTTCACATCAATGAACTAAAACTAAAAAATGAACTCATTAGCACCATCATAAAATAGAAGATGTGATGTTTGTAAGCTTGGCTTTGTCTTTTCAGGAAATAAAATAGTTAAGTTGTAAGGACAGTTTGGTGCTTTATAAAACATGCACCTATGGCTTGTCTCTGGTTAAGCTTTTTTAACTTACAAATAAGGATTTTGTTATGTTTAACCTAAAATTGTTTTTTTCTGCTGTATCAGCAGTAGTGGGAATTACTCAGTTTTTGATGGGAATTACTCAGGGTTTTTTTTTTTTTGATTAAAAAATCAGCTGTAGCCTCTGCCTACTTTCTTCTGTGCGCTACAGCTAAGGTGATAATTCTCTCTGCTTCTTTGCTTCGCACGTTTTGTTTGATTTAATCTCTAATGCTGCATCCTGAAAAGAATGGCTCTCTGGGCTTTCAGGAGCAGTGGGCTTTTCCCCTGACTGCCTGTGACTGGGAAGGGGCAGTCTTGTTCCATCTCCAAATGAAAGCTCAGCTCACACCCTCCTGCGATGTCAGTGTTGGGATCAGCTCTGGGATTATGGGTTACCACTGGCTTTGCCTGTGTAAGAAAGGAGGTGTATACCCCTTCTTATTCTGAAAATGTGCAAGGTCAACTCAAACGCCTGAATTACTGAATAAAAATATGGTCAAAACAGGGAATTACTTCTCCTAAATTTGCATTCTGAGTATTTCTGTCTGTGATCAGGTATGGAAAGTGTCTATGCGTTGTAAGTGCTGATATTGATAGAAATAATGGTCATGAAAAAGTGAAAACAGATGTTAAATCCCAAAATGGCTCTCGTATTTTGTTTCATGCTTGCTTCATCCCTGGGATTTACCAAACTGAATTAGGTAGAGGGTAATGCTCAGTTCTGTCCTTCTCTTTGGTTTTGTGCAGCGTTTTTAGGCTTCACTGTTGTTTTTCCTTCTCTTGCTACGTGTTTTTCAGCCACATTTAATAAAACCAAGAGAAGATGGCCTGAACACAAAAACTGGTGCAGCTTCTTTGCAGAACGTTTGGTACCTGCAAATACTTTGCGCTCTGACTGTATTTAATATTTGGCAGTGTTTGAGAGTGACAGAGGCTGTTTCAAAAGCCTCTGTGCTCGCAGGAGCTCTCACCCTTACGTCCTAGTGCTCCTGCAACCTCAGTTCTTGGAGCGGCGAGTGTTTTGTGCAAAAAGCACAGCAGGTTGCCAGAGAGCTCCACGGAACGTCCTATTGACCACAGAATTGATTTCTTAGCATTTCAGCGGCCTGTCCGGAGAAACAGCACCAAGTTCCTAACCACGTGTGTACGGGGTTCCAAGAGGCTTTACAGGAGCACGTACTCCTTCATCGGTCCGTGAAAGTGCCAAATAGCTCCAGCTTTAGTGTTGGAACAACTGTTTGTAGGAGCTTGAGCTTCCTGTAGTCACATACATCCGTACTGAAGGAAGTCACCTCACGCTGGAGGTCCCTCTTGCATCCCGAAAATGATGAGGTACAGAACTGAGGGGGAACCTCTGGTTCTGCTGAAAGTAAGATATTTACCAAGGAAACTCATTTTATGTCTAGGAACAGAGAAGAGAAAATAATCAGGTTACGAGAGAGAATGATGAATTGTTTCAGAGAAGAATGATGTGCTATAGGATTTCTTCTCGCTGTTTTTTTTTTTGGCTGGGGTTGGGGTGGGTGAGCTTGTTTAGGTTTTGGAGGGGTTTTGGTGGCTTGCTTCTACATAACTTTCCTTAGCTAGCTTTTGCTTTCCTCTGCTGAAACCTTAGGTGTTGTCCTTGATTTTTCAAGTTGACAAGAGGAAAGATAGGGGGGATTTTATTTCTCATTCTGACAAAAAGCCTTATTTTAATGTGAATTGAAGTCCAGTCTATTTTATATTTCCTAGAGAAGCTTGAGCCATAATTTTGTTTAGCACTGTACAGTTCTAATATTAGTCTTTTTAATACATTTTTTAGTACCTGATTACAACAGTATTTTAGGGCTAATTGTGGTTTTTTATATTTATTTGCAATCTTTTCCCCCTTTGTAAGTTCTTGGAAAGCGTAGGTGGTGTAAATTGAGCAGAAAAAGAAGATGGAATGTTAATGTAAAAACAAGCATTAAAAAGGACCACGCTTTAAACATATGGATGTTGAGGACTCATTGCAGTACATTAGCTAAAACATTGAATCAAGGGGTTTAAGCGCAGTAAATTTTGCAATCTGCTTTACTTATACGTGTAAAGCACTTTTTTGTATTCCGTAATATTTTTTAAGGTAAATCAACATGTGTTTGCAATGCATTGCACTGACAGCAATAAAAACAAGACTCTCACTGAACTTCATAGAATCATAGAATGGGTTGGGTTGGAAGGGACCTCAAAGATCATCCAGTTCCAACCCCCCTGCCATGGGCAGGGACACCCTCCACTACACCAGGTTGCCCAAAGCCTCATCCAGCCTGGCCTTGAACACTTCCAGGGATGGGGCATCTACTTGTACTCAGTGGTTCTGCTCTGCTGCAGCACCACACTGGGAGGAGAGCAAGGCCTGCCACCACCCTGCCTCCCGCCCTGGGAAGCCGTGTGGATAGCGCTGCTCGGGGTCTCGGCAAGGGGAAGGAGGGGGACAAGGACAAGGGGAAGGAGTGCAGAAAGGCTGCTGGAATGCCAATGTGTTGTTTGAACTGTTAACTCTGCAACGGAGGTTAAAAGACAATGAATGAAGCTTTGGCTTAATCTTTCTGTGAATGTCATTGTGAAAAAATGGGTTTTTACTGGTAGCAAGATTACCTTTACTTTGGGAGCTCTTATTTTTGGGGACACTGTAGCCCATAATCTGGAGATTGTTGTCTTGCACACAAGTTATGAGAGATGAGGCTTTTTGGGAGAGGTAATACATTGTACAGTGTGTGTAGGGAGAATTGGGAAGTTTGGAGCTCAGCATCTCTTCAATAGGTCTACAGCCCTATCATTCCTGTGAAAGTTATAATTTGATTTTGGACCACTTCCGTTAATAATGAAGTTCACCACCATCGTGAAAATGGGTTTGATATTAAAACTTCATCTCGATATTGCTAAAGTTCATCCCTCCCAATATTGATACATGCCTGGCCTTGAAAGAACAGCTTTGTTTCCTTCTGTTTGTCTCTCATACTGCAGTTTCCAGTGCTGTTCCCCATTAACAAGTTTCCCCATCTTGTTAAATTGGGATTAATTGTGCCTGCACTACAGAGGTCTGGAAAGACTGAGGTTACTAATATTTGGAGGGGAGGTTATATACGTGTCCCGATAATGATAAGGGATGATTTTGCAACTCTTGATAACAGAACAAAGCTACCTTCAGGCTGCACTCTCTATTTTTCTCTATGCAGTTCTGAAATTTATCATGTGGTATGTGCCCATTTTTCTGATATATAAAACATGGCTGGTAGGACAAAAGCGAGGAGATTTTTATCAACCTTGTTTTAATATTGAGATTGTGTTTGTCCTTCATTTTCCCACTGCGAGTAATTTTTCGTCTCCTCTTTCCTGATTGAAACAGAATTGTCCAAGGAGGCCTTAACAGCGTGTGATAGCTTATCCGCTCCCTCCCTTGTTTATATGAGATATGGCTTTGACTCCTCGAAGTGTGCATGCGTTGGTGAGCTCTGTTCTCCACTTATTGCCATCCTGTTATGTCACCAAGATGGAAATATTTGTTTATTATGTATGTATTTCCTGAATGAGGAGTGAAGGCAGAAGAGTAGCCATGCTACTAGACCATGTAATTATGCTTTAATAACTAACTCATGTCTGCCTGCTCCATTTCAGTAAGAG